GTTCTATTACTTCTACTGAGTTTACATATCTTATTGAATTTTTACCTAAGAAATCAAACTCAACTGTCCTTGGTGGTACCAAAGTAATATGTTCACATATGAGGGAACAACAACCCACAGTATCTACTTCTTTGCCAGTTTTCTTATTTCCTGCTCTTAATGCAAGCTTGTCATTAAGATACAGGGCAGTAGCACGTTGACATAGTGATATCAGCCGGCTAAGGAATGGGGTATCAGTAAATATCAGAATCTGATTATAATATTCTTAATATTTTTATCATATAGTCTAAAAGCCTATTAGTAAATATTGAATGAAATTATCAGATATTCTTTTAAAATTAATCCTATTTTTTAATTAATTTAATAAACTTTTATATTGTGTAACTAGTTTAGAAAGGAGTTTAGATTTAAGACTTTCTTAACAAAATAGTTGTACAAAAATAAAATTCAATCTTATCACTATGGCCTCCAGAAATATTCAAAGCTAATTCAAGATCCTCTCTTGTCAATGTTACTCATTTAGCATGGTTGGTGCATAAATTCCTGATAATAATGGAGGAAGAAGTTTTTTATTAATAATAATATTACTTACTAATGAAATCATTATTTTTTACAGATCGAAAAGTATCAAATCAACATACACATTTTCAAACAATTCAACAAGATGTGCTTCAGCAGCTAATTAAAAAAAAATACAATACAAATTATTAAGGTGTGCAACATTCTAAAGAAAATCAAAACTAATTAATTTGTTAATCAACTGATATCAAATACTCCAATAAATTATTATATATGCATATATATAAATTCACAAACTCATATATATATATAGCTGAAATAAAGTATTAAACTCTTGATTATTTTAATAAATTGATAAGGTCCTTACCAGTTGTTGATTAAATGACTTAAAGAATCCCAGTTATAAAAATTAACCTCTTGGATAAATGTAAATGTTTTGTCATTGTAACAAGACACCCACTGCACAATTCAAATGAACTGGTGGGTATTCTACTATGTTGTGGAACTTTATACAATACCTAACCACGTGTTCATCAAAGTTAATGCCATCCAACAACTAGTAAAATATGCTTCTTTTAAGAAAGAAAATCTTTTGACACCAAAATCTTATAAATATATCAATTAGAATTTGAGATAAAGCCATGTAACAAGATAAAATTTTGGTCAAATTTACCTCATTAACAAGGGTTACACGTAATATATAAAAGTAAAAGGCAACGCTATCAAACTTTTTTTTTAATGCATATTTTTAAAGATAATAAGAAACTAGGTGTTCTGACAAAAATTTACTCCTGTGGCTTTTAAAATGGGCCCAGAATGATAAATATAATTGGGGTTTTGTTCCAGGGATACCAGTTCATTTGAATCTCTAATGTAACACTAAATAAATGATATTCTCTCAACGCGCTCCATGTATATATACTCGTGTTTGTTTGTTTGTTTTTTTTTTTTTTTTTAAAAAAAGCAATGAAAAAAATTCCAATTAAAGATACCCAAAGCTCTCCAAAAGGTACTGTGCTTTTTAAAAAGATAAAATTAACATTCATTCACATTATTTATTTATTTATTTATTTATTTTTAAAAGATAATGACGATAAAATCGAAAAAATGCTAGACATTCATTACAATATTAACAACGTTGATGAGGATGAAGATGAAGATGAGGATGAAGATGAAGATGAAGATGAAGATGAAAATGAAGATGAAAATGATAATGAAAATGATTATAATAATGATAGTAAAATTGGTGAAATTAGTGATGATGGTGATAAAGATCACGATATTGATGTTGGTAGTGATGAAGATGATACTGATAAAATTGAAACCAGTTGTGAGGATGACGATAAGGATAATAAAGATGAAGATGATAACAGCGATCAAAGTAAAAAAAAATTTTTTTGCACAGTTCCAAATTGTGATAGATCATACAAGTCTATAAAAACATTTAACCGACACAGCAAAGTTCATGGTGAAAAAGGTTTCATATGTGAATATTCAGGATGTGACAAAGCATTTTATTTTAATAACGTTTTACAACAACATATAAAACATTATCATCTTGGAATAAAAAATTTTAAGTGTGAATACCCAGGATGTGCAAAAGCATTTTCTCTAAAAGGTGGCTTACTGAGTCATACAAATCGTTGTCATCTTGTGGTGGGAAATCACAAGTGCGAATATCCAGAATGTGGACAAATATTTTCTCAAAAACAAGATCTACGAGTACACGAGAAGCGTCATCTTGGATTTAAAAATCACAAGTGTGAATATCCAGGATGCGGAAGATCATTTTTTCGAAATGTTGAATTACAAGATCATACGAAACGTCATCTTGGATTAAAAGATCATAAATGCGAATATCCAGGATGTGCTTCATCATTTTGTAAAAAAAGTGAATTACTAAGACATACACAACATCATCTTAAAATAAAAAATCACAAATGTGAATATCCAGGATGTGATAGATCATTTTGTCAAAAATGTGAATTACAAGCACACATAAGACGTCATTTTCAAATAAGAAATTTCAAATGTGATTATCCAGGATGTGATTCATCATTTATTAAAAAAATTGATTTAGCAAGACACACAAAACATCATCTTAAAATAAAAAATTTCAAGTGTGAATATCCAGGATGTGAAAAATCATTTTGTCAAAAAAGTGATTTACAAATCCACACAAGACGTCATCTTGGAGTAAAGAATTTCAAGTGTGAATATCCAGGATGTGGAAAAGCATTTCATCGAAGAGATAGTTTGCTAGATCACACAAAACTTCATCTTGGAATAAGAGAATTTGAATGCGATATACCTGAGTGTAACAAAAATTTTATTACCAAATCTGGACTCAAGAAGCATAAATCTAAAGTTCATAAGATTCTAGTTGAATGATAATGATGACGAATTATCAAAATTCAAATTGTTGTATAGATGGTGTACAGATATCAATCAAGATTCAATAAACTAAATATTTTTTTGATCTAATTTACAATATTTTATATTATGTTACGATAATTTCATAGAAGTATGTGCTAAGGATTTAAAAATCATCATTCATCTTATGAATTCATCATATAATTAATTCATCGATCGTTGAGGTTTGGATTTTAAAATGTTACACGTAATATGTTTTTTTTCAATAATGGTTATACACCTATTTGATTTCTTATCACAAAAGAATTATGAAATTTTAATAGCTAATTATTAATACTCTGAATTATAAAAATAATTTCTTCGTGACGATCCGCCTATAAAATTAGTACATCGAGTTTTTTTAAAAAACAGAATCAATCTGGATATCAGTAAGCGTTATTAGAGAGAAAAACAAATACTCGTTTCAATGATGTTAGAAACCATTTAAATATCATTAAACTTTGTTTTTTTTTTTTTATTTACTTGGTGAAAATTGAGACCAGGTGTTGGAACTTGTTATTTTTTAACGAGAAGATATGAAACACTTTGGTAAGTTATTAGAAGATGAATATGAAAGTGAATTATCCGTTGAAGAGTTGAAGAAATGCAATATTATGAAATTACTTGGGAAACAATCATCACGGATAGAGCTAGAGATTTTGGAGCTGGGTCACTTTTTAATCAAATTCTTCCACTGTTTTTGTCTCAACAATTGGAAGGTCAGGAATTTCATTTACTAGTTAAAGCAATTGATCATATTTTTTATTTGGTACATCCATATATGTCCATGAAATCCTTGCGGTCATCAAACCACTTTTGATTGTTTTGCAAGATGTGATTCTTTTCTATTGAAATTTATATAAAGGGTAGTAATAAAATTATAAGTAGTTTAAATAAAGTTGCAGGATTATCAACCATGATTATCACAATGAGACCAGGCATGCAATTCTTCCATTGTTCTTTCATTTTCCTAAATTACCATCCTTTTAAAATTAAAATTAAAATTATAATGATTGCACAATTAATTTTAATTATATACTTTGAATTCGATCAATTTAGTATCAACATTATTTGGTAATATGCTTGCAGCATTTTCTTGCCACGTATGAAATTGTTTTAATCGTAAAAAAATATTATTATTAATATTATTATTATTATATAAAATTGATTTGAGCTTGTTGTTCATTTTAAATATTCCGGCAGTAATTGTTGCAAAGGTCAAAAAAGATGAAAACATTATTATTTTGATTGTCTAGTTTATTTGAATCGCCAATTCACTTTAAAATATATATGGAAATATTACATTTAATCTCTGCAAAAAGTCAGATGATTGAAATTTGATAATAATAATAAAATTTGCCGTGTCGGACTTGTGAATTTAACGAGCATTGACTGTACCAGCCTTTTTATTATCTGAATCTTTATCCATAATTAAACGTGATGGTAGACAAAATAATAGAATCCTTTAGCACATTCAAACGTTTTAAGGAGTAGAAGGTACAGTTCTAACATCATTGATAGTTTTGTAGGTCTTTTCATAACTAAGATAATTTTATGCTGAAATAAGATATTCTATTTGCTTAGGTGAAGAAAAGAATGAAATCAATCTTTTACAACGTAAGATAAATCTTTGAATTTCTTTATTTAGTTTAAATGCAGATAATTGTAGAATATGAGATGTACAAGGAATTCTGAAAATATTTATTTACTTTTCCAAATTTTTATGGTGTCAAATAAAATATCACAATTTTTTTCCTGTGTATGGGTAATTTATTTGTTTGATTAAAATGAATGCCTCTTTAAATCTAAACTTTTGAAATCCCAATGCAAGTCAACAGTCAAACTTGCAGTAAAAACATCTGAATTGATTAAATTTTGTAGTTGTTGATGAGTATACTGTTGACTAGCATTGGCCACCAAAACTATTTTGATGAGATAAAAGTCAAAACTAAAATTAAAAGTTATATGTCAAAACTAAATCAAAAGTCAAAAGTCAAAACTAGTTTCAACTTATGGCAAAGCCTTCAGACTTTCGCACAGTGCAAAAATCCATATTTTCGGAAACCAACTCTACTGTTGACCCAATTCACAAGGGCTTCATAATTAGGATTTAATGCAGATAGAAACTTTTTAAGTGAACACCTACTTTTAATTATTTTGGTTGATTGTGAAACTTTTGAAATAAACTCAACAAATAGTTGATTTATAAAGTTTCACTCTTTATTAGCCAAAGTTCTAGTTTTAGGAAATAAAGAAGTAATTTGTGTTT